TGCTTTGTATGACAACCAGTTCCAAAGGGAATTGAAGGATAAATATGTGTAGGATGCAACATGTTCAATCCCAAGAGACCTTCAGTAATTGTACAATGCTAATAACACTGGAAGCTATGTGAGACTGACACATTGGAGCTTGAACTTTTCCCTCCCTTAGAGATCTTCTCAGCATTTGATTCAGATCATCTTGAGATATTTCCAAACACATCTCTAGTGCTTCTCTCACTCCCAGTGGGATATGGCTAGTGTAACCAAGTACTTCATTTTCTGGGGTACTCATGAGCGTATCTCCCAGCACATGCTGCAGAGCCCCTTAGAATCAATGAATTTTAGTGGTTGGAATGGAGCTTAGAGATGATCCAGCCCCAAGCCCTGCCCTGGGCAGGGACACCTCCCACCAGAGCAGGTTGCTCAAGGCTCATCCAACCTGGCTGTGAACACTGCCAGGGTTGGGGCAGCCACAGCCTCCCTGGGCACCCTGGGACAGGGTCTCACCACCAGAACAGGGAAAACAAATATTTCATTAACATCTCTGAGGTTCTACTTCTCCCTCCTTTTTCACTACATGGAAATAACTCCACTGAACTGCAGTGTGGCATGAAAACAGGTTGAGATTTCAGTCCTTGTTGGCTGTGAGATACACCAAGCACGTCATTTTCTTGCAAGTCACTAAGACATATGTGACAAACCTTATGATATCCTGAATCTTTGCAGTCAAAGAATAAAGAAACACCTGTGCCTGATTCCTGCTTCCAGCAGCAGGATGTGAGAGGGCAGAGCCCAGCCCCTAGATAAATGCACTCATTCTATCTCAGTGCTTGTTTGGCCTTTCAGAGAGATACAGGCTGGTTCATCTTGATCTTCCCATCCTCTGTGTTCCCTCCTGAGGGCACAAGTGCAGCACTTGATGTTCTGAATCCTGATGCTTTTCTGCTGATAAAGAGATGCTGGTTCAAGAGGCTTTTAACTTGTCTTACCAGAACAACAAAGAAGTGCTGAATAAAAGTAAAGGGCTCCATGAGAGAGAGCACAGAGTAAACTCAACTTCTCACCATTCCCAGTCCTTGCTTGGTGAAGGCCAACATATATGGAGGTGACTCTTGGGAGGGCTATGAACCTCAACAAGAGGCAGAACACATACCCAGAAGCCTCACTCCCTCACAGGGTGGAGGGGACAATGTCCTGTCCCCTCAGCCTGTGCTCACAGGGAGATGCTCCAGTGCTCTGAGCAGCTCTGTGGCCTCCTCTGCACTTGCTCCAACAGTTCCATGTCCTTCTCAGGCTGAGGCCCCAGAGCTGTGTGCAGGATTCCAGGTGGGTCTCACAGAGCAGAGCAGAGGGGCAGAATCACCTCCCTTGCCCTGCTGCCCACACTCCTGTGGCTCAGCCCAGGATTCCATTGGTTTCTGGGCTGAGCTCACACTGCAGCTCATGGGGACCCTCTCATCCCCTCCATAAGCCATGTCCACCTGGCTTATGTAGCTTTCTGAATGTTCACAGCTAATGGTAAGTGGAATTTGGCTAAAGTAGTAGCTGAGGAAAACAGATCATTAAAAATTTTAGGCAACATACTTACAGTACTCAGGAAATGTGTTTTTCTACCTCTTTCTTTCTTCCAAAGTCACTGAAATCATTGTCGTGTGTATTGTGTCCAGAAATCCATCTCTTCTTTAATCAAACCTAACTTATACTGGGCAAAATCCTCTCCCATGGCTAACCTGAATAACTGCTCCAAAGGGGAAAATGGTTCTAAGTCAGGTCTGATTTGTTCTCTTTCATCCATTGGTCGTCATGACAAAACTATTCCTGTTGGTCTTACATTTCTGTATGGTTTACATTATGTCTTTTCATTCTCCTTACTCTGCCCCAGTCAACAATCAAATAATATCAAGCAGAAACACAAACTCACCTTCTCACTTTTTCTTGAACACTGGTGACTTCTGTTGTGGGAATGTAATTTCACAGCTCATTTCCATCACAACTGTTCCATGCAAGTAGGAAAGAGCTTAGAAGTCATGGTCTGCCACAAGCAGATGTCACCTCACTTCTGAGCACAGCAGCAGTGCATGGTCTCTGCTCGGGGATTGAGCCATAAATATTTCCTGTCAGAAGTCCATTTCAAAACTCAGTGCCCTGCCAGGCTGCATGGAGCACAGACCTGGTGCTGCAACTGCTGTCACAAGCAGATTACACATGCAGAAACTTCAGAGGCTTGGTATGAGTTCACAGCAGGGAGTACCTGTCAGTAGATCATCAAAGAAACATACAATCCTAGGATTTTAGGGGTTGGAATGGAGCTCAGAGCTCATCCAGCCCCAACCCCTGCCCTGGGCAGGGACACCTCCCACCAGAGCAGGTTGCTCAAGGCTCATCCAACCTGGTTGTGAACACATTGGAGCTAATAAAAAAAGGGAAAATGTAGAGTGTATTCCCCAAGATACTAATTAAAAATATACATGAAAAAGATGTCTGGGATCTATAGGAAAAATTACTGCCTTTTCCTGGGATCACAGATGTGTTGTAGTGCTTACAACAGCTGAGGGACAGGCTCTGGAAGAACCTAATGACCTGCTGCTTCAGAGCAGAGTGTGCAGATCAGCTGAACCTGCACACTACTGTCCCACATTTCTCTCTGTATTAGAGTCACACTGATGTAGGCACACAGAGAGCTGTAGGAAGGATTTAATGGCCTGGTTTTCCTGATGACCCCCTCAGTTTCCTCCTTCTTCCAGCTGTCTCTTTACACACTCATGGGGATCTGCAGGTCCTTTCCTTTGGGCAAATTTACCCCTTCAAGGCTAAATAAGTTAATCTCTGCTCAGTTCTTCCTGAAGCTTTTAATATGTGTCTATCTACACACTTTGTTTGTATACCTGCATTCATATATAGTTAATTGTGTATGCTATAGAGTGATAATAAAGAGTCACAAAGAATAAATCAGGTGGGAAGGTACTTGGGATGTCTCTAGTCTAACCTTCTGCTGAAAGGAAAGAGAGCTGTGCAATCAGACCACTTTGTTCATGGTTTTATAGGAGTAAAATGGTTGAAATTCAAATACTCTAGAACCTTTTCATCCCCTAGTTTAGGTTTGAGGTATCCAGACAGCAAACAAGTGCTCTGCCCTCTGAATGCATAGTGTGTCAGCACCAGGTAAACTGGATCCCTGTGCTGGCAGCAGGACACAGGTATTGTCCTCTCTAGGGCACAACTTCCAAATCAAATGTTCATTAAAACTTCCCTTGCCATGATAGGAGACAGTGACCTACCTGTTAGCAGTGTCTGCTGGCTGCTCAGGGACCATCATCAAGTGCTGCTCTTCATGCTTTCAGTTGGCACTAATTCACAGTAATTAGCTTGAGTGAGCAGGAGCAGAGGTTCAATTGTGTTTTTATCCCTTGAGATAAGCTCCAGCAGCTGAGGCCAATGTGTGCTGGGCCACTGCTCCTCATCTAACTCTGGAATAAGGTTCTTTTTCCTGCTGCCACCATTGCCACCACTACCTGCTGCCACCACTCTCTCCCTGAGCTGGGCACCAAGCTCCCAGGGACAGAAAGATGGGAAAAGCAGCATTAGCAACACAGAGAGCAGCAACACTGGCCCAGGGTGCCCAGGGAGGCTGTGGCTGCCCCAACCCTGGCAGTGTTCACAGCCAGGTTGGATGAGCCTTGAGCAACCTGCTCTGGTGGGAGGTGTCCCTGCCCAGGGCAGGGCTTGGGGCTGCATCATCTCTGAGCTCCATTCCAACCCCTAAAATTCTGTGATTCTATGAAAACCTTCACAGCCCTCAGGAAG